GCATTAAGTCTTCTGTGAATTCAATTTCAGACTGAGCTGTTCTGTAGAGGTTACATAAAAAAAGACTACAGGGTATCAAAATAAATGTTGTTTTCCAGGTCAGTTTTCCCTACATAGACTTTTAACTAAGACTTCATCTTGAAGCACACTTGCTGGATGGCCAGGAGGCATTTGCACTGTCAGTTTAAACCTTGTAAGAGAGTTTTTTTTCTTATCATTTATCTCTTGTTTTTTTCTCATCATTTATCTCTTTCCATTAACCACAGAGGGAAATTAATTCCATTCTCTGACTCATAAAAATAGCTGAATGTCTACCAGAGACATTGGAAACAATCTTCTGAGACCAGGAATTGATACTGAACAACAAGTCAGAACAAAATTACTTGGGACTTCTGTAAGAGTACCCTGGACAGGATTTGAGCAAGGACTTGGGAGGGGAGGGAAGCCCTCTTTTGCTAAGTACGCTTGCCATACACACAGAGAGATTCATTCTCTATGCTGTGGATATATACACTTGTGTCTACTGTCTGTCTTCTTTTTCCCACTGTAAATCTGAACTATTATTCCAAAAAAAATAGCACAACTCAGCAGCAAACTAGACTGCCTGGGGGATATCAGTAGAGAAACATGATGAAAAAATCCTTTTGATAGTAGAATCTATTTGGAATCTAACAGCAGAACAGATGAAGCACTGAAAGCATATAGTCAGGAAAAGGAAATGGATCTTTGTCTTCTGTGATTCAATGATTCAGTATGGGAAACTATCATATATCTATGTAATTATGAAGGCTTTATTTAAATCACTGTAGTTCCACAGTCAATTGATACTCATTCACATGTTCTTGTAAACATGAAGCCAAGATGATTTTACATAACTAATCTTCCTCTGTCAATATCACCCTGTCAAGGCAATTCATTGCTTTGTTCCTTGCCTTATTCCTTATTACAATCCGCTCATATCTTTAATACTTTATTTTTAAAAATCATGCAAGTGCATGAAAAAAGGCATTTCAGTCATCTGACGTGCCTTTGCTATCACAGAAGATAGAGTTTTAAGTGGAGTGTAGAGTGTTTGTAAATCATTACTGAATAAGGCTGGAAGATATTCATGTGTTGCAGGGCTCTCCAGCTTACTAGACTGCAAGCTATCAAAGAAAAAAAGATCTGATCCAAAACTTAACTGTAATAGTCAGATCATAATGACTTTGTGTTAAAAAATGAGTTTTGCCATGGCATCATTTCTGCCATTGGAAATTTTTTTGTTTTCCTCCAACAGCATTTTCAGCCTACCTTCACTTAGACTGTAAAGAAAGCATATAGTAATTCACTGAAATTTGGTTGAATATAACTCTGAAAGTGACTTGTAAAATCTTTAGAGCCAGAAGCTCCATCCTTTGCATAACCATTCTTCCCTTGGGAAGATTCTCTCTGCTCCACAGAAGCCTGTGCTTGAAGTAGAGAATTGTCCTTTTATCACTATCAACATATTTCTTATACTGTGCGGTGCAAGAAGTATTTATGATTTTATGAAGCATAACTTTAGTTTACATGTAAGTATCTGCACAAATGCCACTGTTTGCAAAACAGTTGGAAAAATGTCAAGGGGATCTAGATGCAAATGAACATCAGAAAACACAGTGATGTTTTTAACTGTACAGTTTTAAGTCTCAGCACAGCGGATTTAACTCCACTGACTATTGCAGTATACCACTGAATTGTTTACAGATTTATTTCCTCCATTTCTCTACCTATCTCCTATTCTTTCAATAATATAGCATGCAGATCATTCCATGTGCCAGCTGTAGTCTGCTCATATGTTCTCTTTGCTTGTGCTACCCTTGGACAGCTAAGAAAAATGATACACTAGAAATCTTTTCTAAAAGGATTTATCAAATGTAAAAATGTGTTATTTTTGTTGGTTTTAAGTGCTGTTGTGCCTTTAGCTTTATATTAGACAGTAAACACCCTATCATTCACAGGAACAGTTTGATGGTAAAGCATAATTTGATCCTTCTTAAATTCTGAATTTTGTTTGCATACTGGAATCTAGCTTGAGGCTTAGGTCTGAAACATCATTCCTTATGAATACTGATTGAAAAATTAATTATGAGATACACAAATACATTTCATGAACAACTGAACCCCAAAGAGAATCAGGAAAAGGGGAAAGCTTCACATACTGAGTTAAATAAGAGTTTAATGGTGGCATTTCTGAACTAGTATAGGAGTAGGAAGAGAACCAACTGGCTTTCCACTACCATATATACTAAAAAGTATTTATTCAGATGACATGTCCTCTACTACATGTCTTTCTATGGTCATTTAGTGTTCTGAAGACCAAGTTTAATTTTGACTTAGGACAGTGCATTAAAAAAAAATAATAATAATAAATTATGTGTTCATATTTACTTTATTATCAGTTAGCTAAACCCCAATGGTTCTTGTGAAATCAGGAATTCAAGACACATTCTGATAACTTTAGTTGTTTGATACTTAGACAATTCATCACAGCTGACTAAAATGAAGTAGTAAATAAGCTGGAAAGACCCTGGTGTGCTATACATTCCAGATAAATTTATTTTTATCATATTGGGGCTCCAGAATGATTTTGAAATGAAAGGAACCCTGCTTCATAAGTAACTGATTCCTAAAATATGCAAAGAATTGCTGGGATAGAGTGAATTTTGAACCTCTTAGATGGTCTTTGTGTTGCCTAACATTAAGCACTCCATATTTACTAGCCTCACTAGAAGGCTAAACTCCCCGTAATTCCTATACCCATGGCAATACTTGGAGCAGAAACTTGAAGTTACATGTTTTGAACCATTCTCTGGATAAGCATTTTTCCCTCAATTACAAAAATATATAAAAGAAAAAGGAAAAGTGGGCACCTAACCTGAAACTAAGTATATCACTCAAAACACCCTCTTTTCCTTTCAACCACAATTCCTGTCTTTCCATATTTCCATGAGTATGTCCCAAGCATTTGGCTTCAGCAGGGTAAATTTAGCTGTCTCTTTAAAAAGTGTAAAAGAACAGACAGTCTTACTTAATACACTTCTGTGTATTTGATTAAAAACTCATCACAGCATCACAAAATAATAACTTTCTGGTCTAAATTACATTTGTCACAGACTCCAATAATTCACATTTTTTTTAAGTAGTAAAATATTTTAGTAAGGATAATTTTCCCTTAAGCAAAAATTGCTCTAGAATAGAATAGACACAGTGAAAGGAAGTGCAAAGATTAAACACTGTAAATGTCACTCCTAATCCAGCTACATATTACAAAAATAATAATAATAATAATGTGTATCAGCAGGTGATAAATGTCTTAAAAGGATTGAGTCAAAAAACAGGTGAAGTGGGACTATAAACAAGAAATCCAGGAAAAGTGACATTGGTGCAATTAAGAAAAAAACAAAATTCTTTCAAACCTACAAATAAATATAAGTACAACACTTAACTCTGCCTGTAAAATGACATAGATCATGAAAAGTTTCTCCTTGATAGTTTTTAAAGTGTTCAAGGTCTCTCATTATTCTTATTGGTACTGTCAGATTGTCATGTAACCATGAGTCTGTCAGTTGTGCAATCACAAATGCTGTTCATCTCAAATAATTACCTCTTGGCCTCATTTCCTTTTTTTTTTTTTTTGTGCGTGTGCTATTTTCTCATTTCATATTCATTTTCTAATTTCTAATTTCCAGTCTTTACTTTTAGATCACCTTCATCTCCAATTATTTAAATCTGAAAATTCTGGGAAACCAATATGGCAGATTCAAGTACAAAAACATATCCTATTCACATACCACAAACAATCTAGGATTGAGTGACAGCTAGTGAAATCAGCAATTTTCTTTTAAGGGTAACTTCGTTTGTTATTAACATAACTTATTCTGAATTTTATTTTCTATCATATAATATGGAACTGTATCACAATTTCTTCAGAAAACATTAGTTTTACACACAAAGTAGAAGAACACGATGAAGACACTAATTATATGAGGATTTGTAATCGCATTTCCTGGCTGTATTACTGCTTTCTTCTTTGAAACAACATTAACAACTAATGTATAGTGTGAACCCAAACATAGTTATACAATCTATTACACTCCTTTCATAAAACATTGAATCATAGATCATTATTTTTATCTTTACATTTCTGTATAAAATTGGAAATATTATACTTCTATAAAAGGTCGTCTGTTTTATTTTCCTTTATGAGTGAAACATGCCAGTTGACCACTCCCTTTGGTTTTCAGGGACAGTGAGTGCTTGTATTTGTAGAAAATTGAACCGAAAAATGTTAAGGTTCCCTACGTTGTCCCCAAATAAAAACTTCCAATTTTGACCCTAATTTTCCATAACTAGAAAGGAATATGGACTTGGTACAAGAAACTTAACATGTGAATTATATGTGTTCTTTTTTAATTGATTTTTTTCTTCTCTGTTTCTTTTTGCAATCCTTTTTATGTGTGGCATATTTTTTTCTCATGAATTCCTAGTGGTCTTTTCTATACAAAGGTTAAAATTGGTAATGTCTACCCAAATATATTGCTTCAGATGATTTAAAATTTAGCTATATTGGTGTAAAATGTGAAGAGAACTTGTTGATTTCATTGTTGAAAATTACTAATGACAATAGAGCTAAGTAAATAATGGTCTGGATCAGACTGTAAACTGTAACAATTACACTAAATTCCCCTGTTTTGTAAAAACAGCCTGATGTAAGTATTCTCAAGCTGGACCTCAACACCAGTTGCAGTATGAGATTATATTAGTCATTTGAGAAAAAAATGAACTTAATAAGTGCTTTTTCTAACATAACCCCCCTGTCTGCTGAAATAGCAAATTGACTGCAAGAATAACTTTGGTACTGTTCTTCTGCTTCCATGATGCCACAAGATGAAGGTATCCTCTATCAAAATATGCCAAACTGTTTCTATAGCAGCTTTATTTTTATAACAGTTATTAAAAGGAAAAACTATTTTACTCACCAAGCCAACTTCTGTTTAAATATACTGACACAAACACTGGAGGGACCGTGAAGAAATCTACGACTGAGTTAACTTCTAGCCAAAACCATAGCTTGTCATTGGCTGCTATGAACTGCAAAAAAAAAAAAAAAAAGAGGGGAAGAGAGAGAAGAATCAGGTTATACTCATGGTGATTGCAAATGGGTGCAATATTTTCCATTCCAAAATATTAGATTCCGAAGTTAGCGTAGAAGTAACTGATGTTTTTAGGTCAGCGCAGACAAGACAAATGGCGTCACTTTTTGACAAGCCTGTATTGTGCATTGCTTCACAACCATGCTTAGATTAAAGTGAAGTTTCTTCTTCTGACTAAAGAAGCAGAACATATATGTGATGGGGTACAAGATCTGTGGTAAAAAAACTGTTTCCTCCACATTTATTAACAATGTATCAGTAATATAAGAAAAGTGTAGGTAGGTATAAAACATTTGAAATTATATCACCTTTGCTCTAGCACTCCAAACATGTAGTCCCATCATGTATTTGCTGTTCACATATTTCCAAAGATCCAATAATCATCCTATAGAGATGATAGAATAATCATCCTATAGAGAGAGCTAATTACCAGGCTGAACCCTACAAGGAATAATTCAGGATAGCAACCAGACTTCAGTCCTGTGAACTGTGCTGTGGAAGAGATCATTGTCCCTGCTTAATATGAAATCAGTCTAAGGAATCTAGGAAACTCAGATGTCAGACATCATAGTTCGAACTTGCTTATTTATGCTTGCTTGCTTAAACAAGGTTCAACAACTAATTCATTCAAGTAATGATTAAAACATAAGCTTTTTATAAATACTACATATAAATTAATGATATTAATAATTAATAATATAATGTACAATTAATAATGATTATAATATTAATTAATAATATATATTTAAATATATATTTATGTTTAAATATTACATATTTTAAAACAATTTTCTGAGTTAGAGACAACATCGGTTCACTTTCTTTCAAAGCCTGTACTGGTATTCCATCTGATTAGCTTTCCCCTTTTCTACAATTACATTAAAACTTTAACAGTAAATGTTTATGGTGCATACCAACTTTGTTAGAATCCTAGATAAAATACTGGAAAATGGATTCTGCTGATGTCAAGAATGTTAAAGTCATACTTAGAAGGGAAACAGACAATAGAACAGAACTTGCCTCAGAGAAAAGTCAAAAATGAAAAACTACTGACGTTCTGTTAATCAAACTTTCAGCATGAAAACTGAGCAAAAATATCCAGTTTCATCAAAATCTTTGATTTCCCCTCCGTTGAATTTAAAAGTTGTCAGAATATTTGGAACTCAAAGTTTTTCAAGATCTCAGATTGATATTTTCTTAATTCACAACATGTATTCAGATCAGCATTTTATCTTTCCATAGCGCTTTTCCATAAAGGCCGCTCACATTCACAGTGTGCAAGTATTAACATCAGTATATTCTCTCCTGTTGTGCTCTGCTTCTTCATAACGTAGCCTAAATTACTGCTTTAGGTAGACAATATGTAATTTTAATTATCTTTGTAAGAACATACAACCTTATCACCAACACAAACTTCAAAAAGTATCTGGATACTTCTAAATACAGGGTTCTTGGAAGTTCATATGTATCATGCATTGAATCTACAGCGTCAAAAAGTCAACCTATACTGAAGGTCTCATGGACATCTACAGAAGCTCCTGAGACACTGAATAATTACAGTTTATTATATATGTTTATATGCAGCTTATAATACATATATAGTAGTTTAAATACTGAAGGAATTTATCTGTTAAATTAAAGGATAGACACTGCACCTAGTCTGGGTAATGAAATAACCCAGATGTGCAACAGACTTACTCACTGAAGCACCAGAAAAAGTTGGTTAAGTTGGTCTGAAGAGAAATAGGGGGAGCTAAACTGCCACTGTGACAAAGAAAAATGAGCTCCTGTGATTTGGAAGAAAAATGGGCAAAGGAAAAACATGAGACAATGTCTGTATGAAATTTAAAGGCCAATGGGGCAAGCTTTCTGCTCTTATAAAGTTTCCATCATAGTTCTGCTATGTTTTATGCCTTGTTTCCCCCTATTTTCCAGTTATCAACCACCAGTTAACCTCAAAGAGTATCTCCATGTCCTGAAGCCATAGGAAAAAGGAAGGAAAGAAGGAAAGGAAAAAGGAAACATGGAAACACTTGAATTGCTGAAACTGCATTAGTGGATTTTCAGAAAGTGAAAAGGAAACCTTAATGATATATTTTTCAGCACATTGACTGGTATTTTACAATTCTGCAAAGTATTCATTAGCAGTCTGGGAAAATGGATGTTCATAAAACTGATTATAGCAGCTGTATCAGCTGTTATCTCAACTCCAAATGCCAAAGACAGATTGAATACAGCACAAGAATAATTCAAGTATTCACACTCACTGAGAAGACCGAAACTACTTTTGACTTTACTGACCAGCACCAACCTATAATACTTTTCACTTTCTGTCATACTACAATATACTGAAACAGTTTAAGCTTATAAGCTATTGGTTTCCTTGGTTATCCTATACACTTATCCTTACTTCTTAAATATTCTTAACCAAAAGCTTTGCTCATACATTTTAGAGCTTGGCTTAATTTTGTTCAGTCATTGTAAAGTCAGTCTGTTTTCAAAGAGTTTCCTATCTAATATTTATATTCCCTCTCCGATGCATATTATCAAAGACACACTACTTACACGCAAGCCGAAGTAGAGTAGGAAGAACACATTGAAAGCCATGTCAATCTGTAACGTGAAATCTTTGTAGAAATTCTGGCAGGACTCTATTGGGCTATTTGAAAAAAAAATAATAAATCAAAGTAAATTGTGGTTATATGAGTTTCTAATCTGGTGAGAATTCTATGCATTTCATTAAAAAACGTGATCAAATCTCTATTTTTCCAGTTGTTTACAAGAGACAAGCAAGCATTTCAAATGAATTATTTCATTCATTCAGTTAGTCTCTTAATATTTACCTGTTCAGGTAATATCTGAAAATTAACATGCAAATAAATTTAATAAAAGACAAGCAGGAAAATAACCCAGGATTCCTTAACCCCACATTAACCCTTAAAGAACTGACTTCTTTCTATAGGAACATACCCAGTACACTTTAGGAACAAACATAACAGGCACACAGCTACAGTGAAATATTACATCTTTTAATTTAATTTTTATTGTACCATAAAACCTTAAAAAAAAAAAAAAGTTGCTTAGAAATACATTACCCATTAGCAATCTGAGGCACTTATTTTTGTAGAATCCCTTGCTTACAGTAAGATTTGGGTTTGTTTTGTTTTGTTTGTTTGTTTTGCTACTTATGTACTTGATGACAGTACTATGAGCTGAGTAGAAAAGGAGCATAGCCCACTGGTAAAATTAAACAACAAAATAAATTGAGAAATTTGAAGCAGTACTCTAAGGGTTAATTATGCATGCAGGTTAATTAAATACCTTCCTGTGTGTCAGGCAGCCATTGCAAATTCTAGCTTACTATATTATGCTTTATTTAACAGTGGGACAAGTCCAAAGCATACTCTATACAAACTGGTACTTTATAAACATACTTTAATCTAAGGAAGGAGATAACTTCCATGAGTGTGATTAGTGATTTATTTGTGAGTTTTGTAGAACAGGATGGTGAAGCCACAGAACAGTGTTGAATTCAGACTGAAGTGAAAGTCATGTCCCAATATATGCTGATGTATATACTACGTATATACAATGTCCCACTATATATACATATATATACACATATATTGCAAATGATCATGTATTCACAATGACTAATAAAGTATAAAACTAAAATGTAGATCATTTGGAACCTTTGAAAACATTCTTTCAGGAAAGAAGAAATTCCAGGCTTCCCAGGTCAAATAGATCACTGAATGTGACTGTAATACCAGTTCATATAGCTGCAGCTCTGCAAATATAATGCTAGACTGCTCAACAAGCAAGATTCTATGCATTATGAATGTCTGTTACCTAATTTAAGGCATAAAGGAAATTACCCGGGCTACCAGGTCATTACACATGCAGCCAAATTTTCCATTCCTCGTATACATCACAGATCAAAACAAGTTAAATACAGCATGCCCTCTCTTGTCTTTAGATGCATGAATGCACACAGTAAAATTCTTCTTGATGTACAATAGCTTTTATATTTTAAGAAACTTCAGTGATACAGGAAATTACATTAAAATGTTGAAAAACTTATTTATAAAGACATTGAAGTTATGAGACATTTCTGTTATAGATCAAATAAAACTGATTTAGAAAAGCAGGCAGAAGTTAAGAGAAGCCAAATGTTAACATATAGGACAGAAAATAGCATTTTGTACTTCACAAATACAGGTTTAGCTACAAAAAGAGTGAATGTAATTTGAGAATCCAACATCCTCGTTTTCTGTACTGCATTACTGAGAGGAAAGCATTTTGTTAAAATAAGGTCACTATCATCCTATGCACCCTATCAACAGAAACCACAGAAAATGCCACAGAACCAGAATGAAAAATCTTGTACCAACCCAGAGGCTGAGACCCCTGATTTCAGGTTAAGTTTCTGTAAAAGCTGCAGGCATTCACTGAAGCTAATGAAATTGTACAAATATAACTGGGATAAAGATAGCTTCATTATTCCTCTCCACAGTGATTTGGTACTTGTCGTAAAAGTTAGATAAGGTCAGCTAAGGTTGCAGCTAACTGCTCTCCCTTTGTGCTATTGTCCTTTACAAAAAACTGCAAGATCTGAAAAATAATCTAATACACTGTCATCTTCTTTGCAAAATACTTAACAGTGAATCATAATCCTGATTTGGGACTGCTGTTTATCAGTAGCCCTTTGTAAGCTAGTCTTACTGCTAGTTCTCGCTCTGTAAAACATCCTTCATTTCAGATATCATCCCTCTTTTTCAATTTCTAAATTATCCATCTACAAAACAAACACAAATCTAGCACCAAGGTTAGATTACCTAAACTAGGTTAAATTATCCTAGGTTAATTTAGGTTGGATATTAGGAGAAATTTATTTACTGAAAGAGCTGTGGAGTATTTGAACAGGCTGCCCAAAGAAGTGTTTGATCCGCCATCCCTGGAGATCTTTAAGAAATCTGTAGATGTAGAATTTAGTAGCATGGTTTAGTGATGGACTTCAGTACTAGGCTAAAGGTTGGGGTAGATGATCTTAGAGGTCTTTGCCAACCTGAAAAATTACGTGATTCTGTGGTCCTCTTTATTTTAAATGAAGATTATGTCAGAAAGGCATGTCACTAAGGCTAAATAAATGATTACTTATACACAGGACACGTAACATTTTGTACTTCAAGTTATATTTTGGTGATATTACTCAGTTTGGATTTTTCAGTTTCATCTGTAGCTTGCATATGGGCTGAGAGAAAAGAAAAAAGACCAAAAAAAAAAAAAAAAATGAATGAAAGAAAAAAAGACCACTAAGCTTTATCATTGCAGCATTCAGCCTGCTGCAGAAAGGAAGCCGTTTTGAAACTTTCCTTTGCACCAAGTTTTCTCAAGCCAAAAGTGCTATAGTTCTTATGCTCACAGGCAACATATTGCTAGGATCTCCAGGGCAAAGAATGTGTTTCCTATTCTTTACTAAAATTAGATGTCTTTTCCTATGGGATTTCACCCTTTTAGGCCATCAATGGTATTGCCTTTGAAAGAGATGACTTCTTGTCTTTTCCAAAGTCATAGCGCCAATTTTATTTCATTTAGTATAAGGATATCCTGTTGATAATCTATGAAGCACTATGATATCCCTTTACCCTGCCATCTCTGTATGTAATAAACTATATCCCACAAGGGATGCCTGATTTGAGGCTTTATTCATCTCAATGTTTATATCAAATTATCTGCTGCAACCCTATGCTCCATGCTACCATTCAATATAAATTGCATATAGAGATATAAAAGTGGGCTTAATTTGCCTAATCTGCAGTAAAGACAGAGCCTTACTTATTTGCCATATATATATGTCATATATATGTCATACATATGGGTTATCCCCCTGTTAATTTTCTTCCTTCCTCTTATGCTCTTTCAACACCACTACTCATTGCAGTTTCACATTACCTTTATTCGCTTGTTCTGTTTATTATTACTGCATTTTTACAGCAACAGTAGCACTCACAAAGTCCAGTTATAGAGGCATTATAAGCATAAATTCATTCACTGAGGACTAAGAAAGTTAACTTCACACAGATGGAGCTAAAGGTTGACAAGAAGTAAAGATGACAAGGCTTTGAGCTGCAGTTAAAAATGGGCTGTGTAGCTTATATCAATAAGGCATGACATATCAACGCGTGTCACACTGCAACCATTGTCACTATGCCATTAAGACAGAAGCAAAGGGAAGGAATTCCATGTTCATTCAGACTTTACACCAGTTTTGACACCATAGTGACATCTACCTGGATGATTTTACCTGAAAATTTCTCCACTGCAATGGAAAATGTTGTGCCTACCCAATTCAGTACTTGAAGTAACTACTCAGTATGTAATTTCCATCTCTGTATTTTTTTGGTGAAAAAAATATTCTGGTTTTGACACATGATGTCCATCTATTCCTAATGTTTTTTTTTGTTGTTGTTTGTTTTTTTTTTTTGTTTTGTTTTGTTTTTTTTTTTTACAAGGCCTGCAAGCCTAGCATAAGTGCAAGTTTTTAATCTGGGTGCAAATAGTTATGCACTGAAATAAAAGAGGTTAATTCTAAGTCAAATTATTCTGGTTGCAAATTAGCAAGCATTCTGAAGAAAAAAAGTGTTTTGCAACGATGCATAGTCCATAAAGGAAAATAAGTGCTGTAACTAGGAAATTACTAATGTTAATATTGCACCACAGCTTCTATAAATTTGGAACTTCAAGAAGTTATTGAAAATCTAGAAATTGAGAGAATTGAGAGAAAACGTCCTAATTTAAGATCTTAATTTTTGGAATCAAATTTGTCTTCTGAATAATGGTGGAGGAAAAGTTAAGTCCATTATTGAAATTAGATAAGCTAAAATATAATGAATAATGTTAATTAAATGGAATGTAAAATTGAAAAATTTGGAACTAAAAAAAAACGTCATTACAACCTTAGCATAACAGAGAAAGAAGTAAAATTATCTGATACTAAGAAAAAATAAATTTCAAATTCAGTTGCACAGTAGACCATTATAAGAAAATATGGTACAATGTTAATTTTCTATCAGAAGGAATGTCCATTGACAGTGAATTTTAAGATCAAGGGATGGTTTTGTGAGGAAATATCAGTAGATGTGGCTAAAATATAACCAACACAAATAAATAAATGAGAGAAACCACCCAACATTTAGAATCTCTTTAGTATCATATATTTTAAAGACATTCCACTCACTTGCCATTTTCAAATTTAAAATGAATGCAATTAATACTTATTAATTGGATATATAAATTATTTGTTCATAATTTTGTCTGAAATCACCCTTTTTTCTCAATTATTTTCTGTGAAAGCTCCCCTATAATTCCACATTCCTTCAAATTTATTTATAGAAAAAAAACAATGCTACAAGATTTAGAGTTTAAAAAAATAATTAAAAAAAAAAGTCACAAATTTGATAGTGTTCCTTTGCACCCCTTTAATATATATATTTTAACTGTACAAGGAATGGAAAATTACAGGTGTTGTGATTAACTTATTGTTTCAGTGACATAGTACTAAGACTAAACTATAGGAAAAGACAGGTGTATCATTTAGTATAAGCAATGTTCATTCAGTGCAGAATACTTTCTATTCCTTTTACTCTGGTTTAGTTG